CCTCTTTTTCTAACAGAGTACACATCCAGATATTGACACATAGGCATCGATCACATATTCTTATTTATCACATCAATAGAGAATCAATACAGATTGCCATCGAAGAGAAATCGTACAAAATCGATATTTCTCAAAAAAAATGTGTTTCTTCTAATTGAACTGAAATATAAACTATGTCTCATAAAGTTATAAGTATTATAAATGGAAAAAATTTAATGACACGTTGGCTAAATTTCTTCTTACGTTTCGCCTTCTTGTTAAAAGATGTTATATTTTTTCTCATATTACAACATACAATAATAATAATTGCAATTGTTATTATCATTCTAATGGATTAATATTAGTTGGGAAATATTATAGTTGGGAATTAAATATTATGTTTTATTATATCTCGCACATGAAAAATTCATCGTCCGAACAAAACTTAAAATTTATGAGTAAATTGTTCAAAATCAATAAGGTCAATTAAATGTTAAATATAAAAATAATATTGGCTATTAATCTTATCTAAAGCAGAAAATAAGCTTCGACGTTCCATGTCATCGTCAATCTAGAATTCACGAATGAAAACGCAACAAAGAGGCACCGACGGCACTCTCCCTTACTCGTACATTTTTTTCAATTAAATCGGCAAACAAATAAACAATCGCACGCGAATTGCTTTGAGGCAAATGGGTATCCTGCGGATAAATGAGTTCTCGAGGTGTAGGAGATAAAAGTCGAGCTGACTCGCGATATACGCTGCGTGCTGATTTACGAAGTCGGCAATGGACGAGAACGACAACAGCTACGACTCCAATTCTGCTTTCAACGGGGCGCGACGTCGGCCAGGAAAAATGTCGATGAACGGGAGAACCAGAGAGCAAAGTGAACCTTGGCCGAACCCTCGGCCCAACACCGAGTCCGACTCGCTCGAACGATGCACGCTTGATTTTATTGTTCTGTTCGTAAGTGCCGCGCACTAGTTACGTTTCGGGTGCCGTTGCTCGGTTCAAAGTCGATTGACTATTACGCTCCGACAATATTCGCAATAGATCGTAACCAAGTATAGCTCTGTTTAGATCTTCTTTTTACTTAAATCTAAAACGAAACAATACGAGACTGTAATTTAAAAAATGATATTTTTTTAATACAATGCTTTCATTAAAATTACTGCAATATATTCAAGTAAAAAATTACATCGCAATCAAAGACATCAATTTTATTACGATATTCGATATTCTTATATTCTGACAGTGGATTAATTGTATATATTTTTGTGATCGAATGTCAATTTACAAACAAGATATGGTATAAACGAGTAATTGTAACCAACAGTAGTAAACTATCGTGTTTTTTGTTATCGCGGCGTGGTGACGGTGCTCGTGGCGGAAATCGCTATGCGGATGGAAAGTGTCCGCCAGATCGTTGGCTGCGTCGACCATCCCCGAGGCAATGCGCGATCGGTGTATCGTAATAACAGTGATTTAAAAACGTCACAACGAGCGGCGACGGCCGGCAATGCATTCGCGAGAGTTGTCGAGGAAGCGTAAAGTACCTTTTCTCGAATGCAGACTGTGCACCTGAAAGGCCTCGATAAATCTTGTAAACAACTTTGCGGATCAAAAGCCGTATCGAACAATGCCCTATTATTTAGTAACCCGAGATTACTATGGTAATAGATCCGTATTGCCGTTCGTTCGTCATTGTCGCTTTTCTACCGTAAGAAGATGTAAATTAAAAATCTTTGATCATCAAATAAAATATGTACAATAATCCGATCACACTGTCGCATAATTTAATTAATTTATATATATTTACTAATCATATATATATATATATATATA